GAGATGTCAACACAGAACTGTTTCATTCTTGCCTCACAGTGGTCTCTGCCCATCCACTCTCTTCTCCAGCCCAGGCATACTCATCACGAGGTTGATATGAACCATGTTAGATAATGATGATTGTCTACTCAATAACCACAATCCATTCTTTCCTTAGTTTATAATATTCATACTTTGTGCATGTTGCAACAAGTTCACAGAACTTGGATTTCTCTCCCAATGGAGAAATCCACTGGGATGAATCGTGACTGGTCTAAGCCATGAATGCTGTGGTAGATTGCCTTGTTGGTTCATAATTATTTGTTCGCTCCCCACACTGGGCATGCTTCAGTGAGAGAAGAGAACACTTCTCATCTCATTGACTTTGGCTTGGCTGTATGATTGCTTTACCCAATGAAATGTGGGTAGAAGTGAGAGTGTGCCTATTTTAAGCAGAACTTTTAAAAAAGCATCATGTATTTCTGCTTCTCCTCTTGCATTCCTGTCCTGAATTATGAAAATCATATGTCCCAGACAGTTTCTGTGCTTCAACCTGGGTCCATAAATGAGTACTCATGAAACACACCTGAACCTCACCCACTGACATAGAACTGTTGTAACTGATCTACAAACTCATGAGCAAGCAACAACAAATATATTTTTCTTGACATGTTAGTGTGTTCCTTTAGCTGCATTATTGGAGTGAAAGCTGACTAATACAAATGTTGATTTAATTCCCCCTTGTTTGCAATTCATTTAGAGATAAGTATTTGACCCTGTTCTAACTAATCAGATGTATTAGAAAGTATGCTGTGGGAGGGAGCTTATGAGAAAGATTTTGACCTCTGATGAAAACAAAAGCAACGGAAAAAAGGAAACAAAAAATTGGCTTTATTGCTTGAAAATATAATTATTAGAGTTGTAGTAGTGATTTTTTTCAAAGAACTACATAGTATGAAAAGTAAACATGCTAAGGATAGCTGAGCTAGAGAAAAGCTGAGTATTTGATAAGATTGTTGAACTGCTGCAGAAAACATGGTAGCTGCCATTTCCAGAGGCCTTGTTATGTAGAAAAATGGAA